TTTCTTTCTTTCTTTCTTTCTTTCTTTCTTTCTTTCTTTCTTTCTTTTTTTCTTTCTTTCTTTTTTTCTTTCTTTCTCCTTCCTTCCTTCCTTCCTTCCTTCCTTCCTTCCTTCCTTCCTTCCTTCCTTCCTTCCTTTCTTCCCTCCCTCCCTTCTTCTCTCCCTTCCTCCCTTCTTTTCTTCCTTCCATTAATTAATTTATTTCCTTTACATGGAGATCAAAATTTCCCATCCAGTCTCTCCTCCAAGTCCCTGTTCCTCTCCCTTCCCCTCCCCCTACTCCCCCCTCCCTTTCTCTTCAGAGAAGGGGAGGCCTCCTATGGATATCAACCTCTCTTGGCATATCAAGTTGTAGTAGGACTGGGCATATCTTCGTCTATGGAGGCTAGACAAGGCTGTCTGTCCATTTAGGGGAAAGAGATACAAAGGAAGGCAACAGAGTCAGAGACAATCCCTGCTCCTATTGTTAGAAGTCCCACATGAGGACAAAACTGCACATCTGTTACATATATGTAGGGGGCCTAGGTTGTCCCATGGATGCTATCTAGTTGGTGGTCCAGTGAGCCAATTATTGGCTCAGGTTAGTTGACTCTGTAGGTTTTCTTGTGGTGTTCTTGGCCAATATGGCTCTTTCAATTCTTCATCCCCCTCTTCCATAAGATTCGTTGAGCTCCATCTAATGTTTAGCTATGGGTCTTTGAAACTGTTTTCATCAAATGCTGGGTGAAGCCACACCCAGAAGATGACAGTTATGCTAGCCTCCCATCAGCAAGTAAGGCATAAAATTATTAATAGTGTCAGAGGTGGGCTCCCTTTCATGGCATGGGTCTCAAGCTGGATCAGTCATTGGTTGGCCATTCTCTCACTTTGTGCTCCCTTTTTATCCCTGGCCCTTTGTAGGAAGAAAAAATATGGGTCGAAGGTTTTGTGACTGGGTTGGTATCCCCATCTCTCCATCTGAAGACTTTCCTGGATACAGGAGGCAAACATTTCATATTCCATGCCCCCTATAACTTGGAGTCTTATCTAGGGTCACTCTCACAGATTCCTGGGAGTTTTCATTATACTGGATTTCTAGCTTGTCCCAGAGATACCCAATTCCACTGATTTTAGTTCTCTTACCCCCCCATCCTCCCCACACTTGATACCCCCTACTCCCTTTCCCATCCCCTCTCCCAACCAGCTCTCTCCCTCCCTCCACCCGGGATGTCTATTTTATTTCTCCTTCTCAGGATTCAAGCATCCTTCCTTGGGCCCTGCTTGCTACTTAGCTTCTTTGGGTCTGTGAATTGTAGTCTGGTTATCCTGCACTTCATGGCTAAAATCTGCTTATAAGTGAGTACATACCATGTTTTTCTTTCTAGGGCTGGCTTACCTCATTCAGCATGATCTTCTTTTAGTTCCATTCATTTTCCTACAAAGTTCATGATTTCTTTGTTTTTAATAGCTGAGTAATAATTCATTGTGCAATGTACCATATTTTTTTTTTATCCATTCTTCAGTTGAGGGACATCTAGGTTGTTATATGCACTTGCAAAAAGACTCACGTATCTTCTCCTTCCAATATACTTGCCTTAATCTGTTACTTGGTCTTTTTTTTCTTGAGGCTTTTAATATTCTCTCTTGGTTTTGTACATTTAGTGTTTTGATTATTGTGTGGCAGGAGGATTTTCTTTTTTGGTCCAATCAATTTGTTGTTATGTAAGCTTCTTGTACGTTTATACTTATACTTCTTTAAGTTAGGGAAATTTTCTCTTATGATTTTGTTGAAAATATCTTCTGGGCCTTTGAGCTGGGAATCTTCTCCTTTTTATATTCCTATTATTTTTAGATTTGGTCTTTTCATAGTGTCTCAATTTCCTGGATATTTTGTGTTAGATACTTTTCAGATTTAACATTTTCTTGATCGATGTATCAATTTCTTCTGTGGTATGTTCTACACGTG